TTAACTATAACAAACAAGAAATTCAGTTATACGTATGCATAAATATAAGTCTATGAATATTTTTTTAATAAGAATTTAGGAAAATGAGTAATATAATTGAATTAAATTAAATTGACTTATTGAATAAGAATAATAAAAAAATTAGATGTAATGTGAAAAGAAATATTTAAACCGGTTCCAATCTAGTTTGGATCCCGTTTATAGTTTTAATAATAATAATAATAACAATAATAATAAAATTATTATTTAATTTATAAGTGTGAATACATAGTATAAATACAAAATAATTTTTTTTTTTGGTTTTGCTTTAATATATATTATTATTATACTTTTAATTTATTAACAAATAAAAAAATGTAGAATTTTAAGAAAAAGTATAATGTAATGGTATAATAGGTATTTTATATTAAAAGGGTATGACATTAATTATTTAGAATATAATAACAACTCCACCTCTATTATTAAATTTGATGTAATGTGAAAGGGAGTATTTGAACTGGTTCCAATCCAGTTCTGATCCAGTTCAGGGGTTTGAAAGATAAAGTTATATAGTTTATAAGTGTGAACAAATGTGAACACACAGTATGAACACAAAAAGATTTTTTCGGTTTTGCTTTAATATATCTTTAAATTTCTACTTTTAGGATTAGGAAATTAAAAATTAAAAATTAAAAATTAATTTTTAAGTAATCTAATAAAAAATGAATAAAAAAAATTTGAGGCATTTCGTGTGACTTAACCCATTCGTGATCCAATCCGTTTGGGTTCAAATAATTTCAGTTCGGGTCATTTCGGATTTCAAATTTTGGATTAACACATAAGATTCATGACCCTACTCATAATTGATGGATTGGGTTAAATTTTCGAATTAGATCCAAATTTACCAAGTCTAGCCAAAAAATTTAATGCTTTTACCCAAACCAACCTCAGAGATAAAATGGTAAATACCAACTGTCTTTCCACAAGCTATGAATTATCCTTCATATATATATATATATATATATACACACTTTTAGGTAGTGTACATACAACAACACCTAGATTTCAGTATATATAAATAAGGCTTAGCCAACCTCTAAATGAAATGAACAAATGAATCGAAAAAGAAGAAAAAAAAAAAAAAGCCTCAATGTTAAAACTGCAAATGGCCAAAAGAAAAATTACCTAACAATATTCAAGAAAAAAAAAAAACTGAAATAATGGCCATTGTTATGATATTGGGGACATCATATCATGCACTTGCTCTAGAGATGGTTGTTTCCTCTGCAACTTCACCCTTAATTGTCTGATCTTTGCATCCACACGTGCTGAGAACCCAATATTGGTTTTCTGTCTTGCCTTAGAGCGCTCCCTAGTCCACATGCGTTTATCCTCAATGTCTTTTCTGTAATACTTGATTTCTTGGATTATATGGTGATCCATCGGGTGGAAACATCTCTGGAATGATAGATGGGCCAGGTAGGGGAGATTACAAGCAACTGTTACTAAGAGGCCAATAGATGGGTGCGGAAGCAAGGGCTTCCACGAGAAGCTGGTAGGCATTACCAGAAAATGTGGGAGACAGCATGCCATACATGAAGAGAAACAAATACCAAGTGACTATGCTGCCCCAGATTAAGAGGTGTTGGATCCATGTAAAGTGGCTCATAGTGAGTGCAATCTGGCAGTTGAGGGCCCATATGATAGAGGTAAACATTGTAGTGCCCAAGGCAGCCATATCAGCAGTCTGTCCTCCCATGCGGAGAGCTTGATCATAGAAGATTATTATATTGAGGAAGAAAATTATGAGAGAGGAATAAAAACCATTGCCCATCCATCCAAATATCCTATACCAGTCGAAGAACAAATTCCTAGGCCCTTGCTGATACAATGCGGAGAACTGAAAAAAAATGGGGGGATGTATAAACATTCTAATAAAATACAAACAACCGAAAAATGGATGAAATACTACGGAAGATCTGTTTTCATGCTAACCTGTAAGCAAACATCAGAAGGAACATGCTGTTGAAAAACTCCAAGTGAAATGACAGGGAACGAAGTAAGAAGGACATTGAACAATATCATGTACCAGTCATCATAAATTGACTGCCCAGAGAAACCAGTGAATGCCTCAAAGTAGAAGAGAGTAAGACCAAACGCAATGTTCTTGTCGAAGAAATAGCATATCTGAATTCAAAATGTCAGTTGAAATGCTGATAAATCAGATAAGAATCAAAGCTAGATTTGAAAAACACACAACAAATGAGAAATGAGAGAAGATGAAACACTAATATGGATAATCCATAACTATTACCATCTGTGCAATCCTCTTGTAGCACCAGTGTCCATGGACAACCAGAAGCCTTTCCAAAAATCGAAATTGGGCAAGAGAGAAGTCACTGACCATCACAGCCTGCAACAAGTATAAATCAACTAAGATTTCACTGACAGCACAAACCAGATATTTGTAAAAAAAGAAAGCATATTCTCTATTTTGAGCTGTCTTGTAAAGATATACTGCTTGAATATGTAGCCTAAAAATGGAAGTATACATAAAAACTATCATCATCTGTGGAACTAGATATCATCATCAGAGGAATTAGATGTAGGGTCTAAATGTTTTAGAATGTCATGGCACCACAGGTTTCATATTTCATACCATGGTTGGGACTTGGGAGAATCTACCACCCCCAAAGATATGAAGCACCACCAACAATTTCAATGAAACATTCATTTTAGATCAAAAACAGTTTTATTTGCCGCTACAACTGGACTAAATGCTATTGGAATAGCATTTAAGCAAAGAGGAGAAAACTGAAATACATCAACAGATGCATCATGCAGAAAGAGACTGAAAAATGTGTTACTAACCTGCATACCTTCCACTCCACGGATGCCAACACCAATATCAGTTTCTTGAATCATTCCAACATCATTTGCATCATCACCTACTGCTAAGGTGGTTTTTCCAGTTCCTTGTTTTACTAATCGTGCTACCTAGGTCCAAAAAAAATCCTCTAAATGGAAGACAGAAAGAAATCACAATCTAATGATTATCATCTATCTTAATCACTGAAGTCTATTCATTGCCTATTTTAAAAAAAAAAAACCACTGAAGTCTAGTATAGGACAAATTTCCAAAGGTATAAGATGACGCAGAGAGAAGGAAATCTTGCTAGTGCCTTCTGTTTGGAGACACACGGCAGCACATGACAGATGCGCATTTAAGGAGGGAAACATTTTACAATAAATAACTCACAATCCCAAACCCTGGAGTATATATTGATAATAGTTTGCAGACTATTCACTTTTATGTTTAATTTACATTTTAAAAATACATATTAAATGTGTAATAAATATATTTTTTTAATAAATTTTATATTAAAAATAAATATTTATCTTTTGTTTATTAATTTTTTTTGATGAATCAAATATGTATTATCATACGGAGTACAAGGGGTACTCCACCCATAGTCTCAAAACACCTTACATAATAATAACAAATAAGGCACTCTAAGCTGATTCAAAAAAGGAGGGGCTTAAAACCTATGCAAAGCTAACTTCTAGTAATTTCTTGAACACATAGACTAGGGGAATTACACCAGTGAAAAAAAGAGAACATAGAATTTTTGGTCTTTCCCCTTATCCATACAAAAGTCCTCCTTTGAATTAAATCAAAAACCTTACCCTCATCCCACTGTTGTGCGTTATGAATAATAGAATTCCTCGAATACCATATGGACCATGTGACCACCAGGAATATGAGAAACCACACATCAGATTTTACCACCTTTTTGATCCCAAAGCTGTGAGCTTCACAAAGAAGGGGAATGGAGTTGGGCAGAGGTAGAGAAATCCCCCACCAGTTGTAGCATTTCATCCATAGGCTCTGTATCTTTGGGCATTGAACGAACAGGTGATTTTCATCCTCGAAGTCCCTTCTGCATATGCAACAAATAGTTTCTGCTTCTTCCAGCTTGACACCCCTCTTCAAGAGACCAGATTTTGTTGGGATACCATTAAGGAGCAAGCGCCAACCAAAACAACTGACTTTAGTTGGTACTAATCTGTTCCATAGCCTTGTGCAGATTCTTGGTTCCAAAATATTGTTCTGTCCAGCCATCATTGAGTAAGCCTTGCCCACTGTGTATCCATTTGCGGTATCAAAGCTCCAAACTCTTTGGTCGGGTTGGGTAGAGAAAGTGATCCCACCAACAAGGCTTTCCTTTAGCAGTCGTTCTTCATTCCTTTCCCTGCCAAAAGGTTCACGTCTCCATGCATTTCTCCAAATCCATAAGCCATTAGAGATTTGACCCACTTCCATAACATTAGCATTCCTATTCAAAGCTAGATTAAATAATCTAGGAAAGGAGACGTCCAAAGAATCTATGCCTACCCATTTATCATACCAGAATTTTATTTTGTCACCCATCCCCAACTTCCAGCTAAAACCGTCCCTTATTACCCATGAGCCTTTACCCCAATCTTTTGTTTATTAATTATTTAGTTAAATTTATCAACTTGATATCAATACTAAAATTAATATTTATTTTTATATTTTTTTATATGTATTTATAACAAAAATATATCTTTAATTTACATCTTAATAATACAAATTAAAAAAACTCTTTTATTATTTATATTAATTTATTAAACACTAATTGGTATGCTTTTTAATTTAATACACTTACAATGGATTCATTAAAAAAATAGTAGGGTTATATTATTGATAGAAAGAGAAAAATGAATCACCACTGAAGTTTACTTATTTACTTGTTTATTCATTGCCCTAATAATCTTGGTGGACCTCATTGAGCATGCCATTTTACAGCATTAATTAACTGTTTATTCATTATACCATTAACTATTTTAGAGATGTAATGAGGATGCATTATGGATACTTGTTTATTCATTATTTATAACCCTGCTATTTGGGCTTACAAAATTTGAAAACTCTTGAAAACGGCTAAACAAGCAAGCAATACCAGCGGATATTGGATTTGATCTAAACAAACATGCAATACCACAAGTTTTTGTAGAGGAAAAATTGCAGAAGTAAAACTTTCTTGCTGTACTAATTTTAAGCAGTTGCTCTTGCAATACAAAGAAAGGGGATAGACTAGGAAATAGGAAACAAAGGATAGAGGTAGAGAATTTTTAATTATAAGGGGTCCTAGCCTCTGAGTTTTTGGTTCGCCATTTGGGTAGTTTGTCGGAGGTAGAAAAGAAAAAGACAAAAAAACATGTAATTCTGTTAGAGGAGGGTAGAACCAAGCTTTGTACCTAGTTTGGAAATTTTGGTGGTATTAGAATGAAAATAAAGTGAAATTGAATTGGAATGAAGGTTGCTTTGAGAAAAGAAAAGTTATTTGTTAACCTTAAAAAGGGTTCCTTTGGTACAAATCAAATTGTTTTTTTAGGATATGTTGTTTCAACTAATGAAATTGCAATAGACAAAGATAAAGTTAAAGCTATTAAAGAATGGCCAACACCTAAGAATATTTATGAGGTGTGGAGTTTTCACAATTTGGCGAGTTTTTACAAGAAATTCATCAAGGATTTCAATACAATTGCAACTCTGTTTGATTGAAATCATGAAAAAAAGCATCAAATTTAAGTGGGAAAGTGAATAGGAGAATGCTTTTAATTTAATTAAGGAGAATTTAATTTTTGCACTATTAATTGTTTTACCTGATTTTACTAAAACTTTTGAAATTGAATATGATGCATCAAGTATCTGTGTTGACACTGTTTTGATAAAAAAAAAGCAGTAGCTTATTGCATTTTTTTGTGAAAAATTAACTGATGCAGCACCTAACTACCCTTCTTATGACAAAGTCATACAATTGATTGCTGAAAGGACATTTTGTGTCAAGAATTTTACTAATTGATTGAAGAAAACATTTTTACTTTAAGAGAAGAAAGAATAATAAAAAAAAAAAAAACTAATCTAGAGAAAGAAATATTGGTGGAGAGTAACAGTCCATCATTATAATTTCAATATTATACTATTATTAACTTTTTGATAAAATTATCGATCTTTGGTTTTTTTGTTGGCTTTGAACTGACACACTTTAACTTCCTTTAAGGGATGGTAGAGCTTTGAACCAAAGAAAGAAAGGATGTGTTTTCTTTCGTCAACGTTGCATTTTCTGAGCAAATTTGTATTGCTTTCGACGACCCTTTGTCCATCACCAACCTCCAACCAAAAAGGGTTGAAGGATCGGTGAGTTTGTGTTGGTGGGGGGTACTTTTGTAAAATCAACTATTTCCTCTTCCTTATCTTTTGAATAATTAATTCAACATTTCCATCGGCGGGAAGTAACTTCTATTTGTTTCAAATCCCCTGTGGCTCAAATGTTCAACTTGCTAATATTCTTACTAAGTCTTGCCAAAGCAGAGGTTTGAAATGTTGAGAGAGCAGCTTGGAGGATAATATAATATAATAGATATGCTAAGCACATTATATAATTAAAATAGAAATCAAATTATATATTTGAGTAAATTGTTTTCAACTTTAATAATATATAGATTTAGAAGTCATATTATTTTATGGTAATTGAAGTCAAATTTGACAACAATTAGTAAGAAATTTTATATAATTAAAGTATTGTTATAATATGGTAAGATATAGTTGAATTTAAATTTGAACTACTATATAATTAAAATTGTTAAACCAATTTGAAATTGAAATATAAAAAGGAAAGTGTAGCAATCAATTGATAAATAAAATTACTATTTAAATTAGTCTTTTTTTATTTGAATATAAAAAAATTAATCTTCTTATTCAAGTTATCTCGGAACATTAGCAAAATATAGAAATTTGGCACATCATTTAGCGGTTATGCACTCCTAAACGTAACTTGATGAAAGGACAATAGTGTCACTCTGCCTTTATTCTTATTTGATTTGTATGATTTTTTCTTTGTTATTATTTGATTATTTTTTGTTGATAGTTAACAATTCTGATAACGTTCAGATAAATGTGATGCTGGTTTTTCAGGTTTTGTAATCTGTACCAATAGCAGGGGTACCCATTGTACCCATGAAATAAAAATCACTTTACTGTGCAAAAAAAAAAAAGTTAACAATTCTGATAATTAACTGCTCTGCAGAGGTTGGTTACCATCTTCATTTGCTTGATCTGAGAATCCTGAATAATGAAGCATCTTGGTTTCAAGGGTTTTGCTTCCTTGCCATGTATTGTACCATCCAATTAATTATTCAGCTGTTGAATTACCAAAACTGAAAGTTTGCTCACCAAAATGTTTGGTTACTTGCCTTCAGTTTCTTGACTGACTATTTCCTTTTTGGTTTTAAAAGTTAATGTTGATTTTGTCCTTTGGTTGTGTATTATACAATCAAATCAACCAACTTTAGTTCTGTCTTATGACAATTAAATCAATTTACTTTTTCAGTTAATTACAAAAGCATTACATTATTACATGAAATGTGTATCATTAAGTTTCCTTGACGGAAACTGGATTTCACTGTTTATATTAAATGATTCCTTGATGCACAGGATGGCCGAGCATGCTTACATTTCAGAGAGAGCTAATGAGGAGAGGAAGTAACGTTCTAACTATAGACCCATAATTGAGCATGATGGGCTTCCTCGGCAGCCATCTGCTAACCAGGAATGGGGACTTTGTTTTCAAGCTAATTGTTTCTTGAGTCCATTTTGCAATTAGAATTTAAATGCATGAAAGTGTTAGGTAAATGATGTCAGAAATTATGATATAAGACTAGATTACCTGGTTTTTGCTGAGGCTGCCATGTTTAGATTCTTGCAAATGAAATTCATATTGACCATTGGTATTAAGAAGTCTGTAAAAATACATGATATTGATTACTTTTCTCTTTTGAGTGGTGAAAGTTTTGAAGTTGTGATAAGAAACAGCTGAATCAGTGTGCTGTGAGCTTGAACTGGAATGAGCAGAAGATTTGTAGAGTGATGTTTGACTAGTACTTATCTACTCTACTCTGGGATCCATTATATTGAGTTTTGACAATTGTTTGTGTTTTTCGTAAGGAAACAAACAAGGGCAAGACAAGGGAGGAGACACTGGCTGAAGAAAGGGATAATAAAGGCCGAAGAATGTCATATCATGGGAAGAAATCAAAGCGGACTCCATTAGAGGTGGGGAAGCTTATTCAAATTTTGAATTTTGATTGTCTATTTGGGATTCTCTCATGCCATATGCCCTGCTAATGTAATGATATTTTGGATGATCATTTTTATTTTTCTCCTTTTTGCATCTTTGTCTCTTTGTTTAATTTGTCTTTAAAAAGGAATATGTTACTTGAGGTTCACACTTTGCAATTTATTCTTTGTTTTGAATGTCCTAAAGTGTTTTTTATGTTTATTTTTTAGGCGATGAGGGACATAATAGAGGAATACACAGAGGAAATCAAAAAAGCTGCAAGAATTGGTTGCTTTGTTAAACAAGCAGAAGTGGGAGGGATAGCACCATTACCAATTGCTTATAGCTGCATGTGTATATTGAAACCAGAGAAAAAGTACTGATGACATAACAGAATCAGAAAGGGGTAGCCTAGATCATTACAGGAAGAGGTCTCTCCATAACAATGAAATTAGATCTGCGAGATCAGAAGATGCTTCACAGAAGGATAATGAACGATCAAGATGGAACAAACATGAGGACCATGATCATCGTAAAGTGATATGAAGAGACGTTGTGAAGGGTACCCTGTATTGAAAATCCTGCATGTGGGCTTAATATAAGGCTTGCATCCAACCTAAAACCAATTGGCTATAGGTGGAGTGGCTTCCTTGTATTTAACCCACAAGCTTTTCTATTTTATACTTGATGTGGGATTTTTCCACTTAACACGCCCCCGCCCCCTCACGTGCAGGCCCGCTATGAATGTCGGGTCCTGTCACATGAGTTAACACGCTCTCTTAAATGCAGGCCTGCTATGAATGTCGGGTCCTGTCACATGAGTTAACACGCTCCCTTAAATGCAGGCCTGGTATCAACTTCGGATGCTGTCAGGTGGGCTAACAACGGGCTTCCATGGTAGAACCTGAGCTCTGATACCATATTGAAAATCCTGCATGTGGACTCAATACAAGGCTTGTATCCAACCTAAAACCAATTGGCTATAGGTGGAGTGGCCTTCTTTGTATTTAACCCACAAGCTTTTCTATTTTATACTTGATGTGGGATTTTCCCACTTAACACCCTGGAAGCTCAAAAAGACACAGAAGTCATTGTGTGTCTGACGAGCGAATTATACATAGAACAAAAAGAGACAATTCAGAATCAAGTGGAAGCAAGTATTATGAGAACAAAAGTTCTTCCTCTAGTATGAGCAAACATCAGGATTATAGATCATCTTATTCTATCTCTAATCCTGCACATGAGGTTCACAAAAGAAAGTCTGACCTGGATTTGGGAACTAGAGATAGGAGAGCTTTGTATGAGAATTTTAGTTCTGACTTGAAGGAACCGAAGGGATTTGGAGATAGATATGATCCTTCAGAATCTCAGGACAGCCATTATGCATGAACATGGCATTTTTATTAATTATCCTTGTGGAAATTATCCTTTCTAGCCGTACAATATTAAAAAATAAAAAATGTTAATTTAAAGGAAGAAAAAAAAAAAGCAATTTGCAATTCGGTATTTTGATTTTTCCTTTTTTTCTTAATTTAATAGTTTTTATTATTTGAAAGTAAGATATTTAATGAGTTACGTTTAATTTAAAAGAAATGGGCTTCAAAAATTTTGATTAAAAATGACTGCACAATTATAAAGAGACTGAAGTTCTTTAAGACCGAATACGGTGGAACAATAGGATTATAGATGAGTTGAATTATTGGTAAATTACTCGACTCAAACTTGAGTTGAGCTAAACCCAACTCTAGTTCAAATTTGAACTCAAAAAATCGAGTTGAATCGAAACCAAAACTTGACTTGACTCGGCTCAACTTTGTTAGATTCAATTAAATTTTATTTGTCTCGGCTCAATTTGACTCAACTTTATTAGAATAATTATATGTTAAATATTTAAATTTTTATTCTTATTAAGTTTCTCCTCTTACAAATGAAAAATAGTTTCCCATGCTTGGAAAACAGCTTTACTAGATAGCCTTAAAAAATTTTCATTCGGTGATATTG